AGTGCTTATCAAAGTGTATGAGATCAGAGTGGGAGATAGAGCAGGGCAGGGCTGGCTGCATCTTTTCACATCCAAAGCTATTAAAGCTTCCTTGATAGGAAAGGTGTTCATCTCCAATGAAATGGTGGCCATGACTTTCTTTCAGAGCCACAGAAGATACCACAGTAAGCAAGATGTAGTCCCACTGTGTCAACCTCCCCCCAGAAAGAAGAGAAAGAAGACCTAAATATATGGTTGTCTCCACCTGCCTGGAATAACTGTGAAGTCTTTCAGTGGTCTGATTTATTTCAGGCTTGGTGTTTTTGCCATAAACCTAATATTGAAAACGTTGATCCAAGTGAAAGAGAAGAATTTTGTTCATGGAATGATAGAGTGGTTTGAATTGGAAGGGACCTGGAAGATCATCTTGTTCCAACCCCCCTGCATGGGCAGGGACACCTCCCAGCAGCCCAGGCTGCTCCAAGCCCCATCCAACCTGCCCTTCAACACTGCCAGGGATGGGGCAGCCACAGCTTCCCCGGGCAACCTGGGCCAGGCTCTCCCCACCCTCACAGCACAGAATTTCTCCCTCATGTCCAACCTAAATCTTCCCTCTTCCTTTTTAAAGCCATTCCCCCTTGTCCTCTCACTACAAGCCCTTGTTCAACGTCCCTTCCCAGCTTTCCTGTAGGTCCCCTTCAGGTCCTGTAAGGCCTCTGTGAGGTCTCCTTGGAGACCTTTTTTTGCTGAGTTTGATAATGTGTGAGTGCTGGTGATATCTCAGAGGGCACAGATGAAGCATTTGCTGCCTGCAGCCACACAATATTATGTTTCTTATTGTTGTTGACTTAAGGACTATTACTTAAGGACTATTATTAAGGACTGCTGCAGCAGTTGATGGAATTCAGGACTTTATTTGGGGAGATCAGCAGCAGCAAATCCAGAAGAACCTAGTTCCTCAAGAGGCTGTCAGCTACATCCCATGTAGAAATACCTTTTAGTAGCACTGGTGCTGATCACAGAATCACAGAATCCCAGGGGTTGGAAGGGACCTGGAAAGCTCCCCCAGCCCAACCCCCCTGCCAGAGCAGGGGCACCCAGAGCACATCACACAGGAACGTGGCCAGGGGGGTTGGAATGTCTCCAGAGAAGGAGACTCCACAGCCTCTCTGGGCAGCCTGGCCCAGGGCTCTGTCACTCTCACAGCAAAGAAGTTCTTCCTGAGATTCACATGGAACCTCCTGTGCTCCAGTTTGCACCCAGTGCCCCTTGTCCTGTCACTGGTTATCACTGAAAAAAGGTGATAAGACAAGGATTGATGGTTTTCTATGATTCTATGACCTCTAGTTGATGAGCAAGGGATTCCCCAGCCCCATAACTGTGTGCCAAGGGGGTAACCCTGTGTAGAAACATGGTTGAGAGAATTATAGGGAAAATATGCTTGGTGTGACCAAGAAGTGAGCTGGTTTAACATCCCTAGCCAGGCTGGTCAGGAGGCAACGTGGGGTCATGGAGCTTGAATTGTTACAGGAGGACCCTGGAGGGAGGAATGCACTGGAAAATAAATGGTTATCTTCTAATGAAGTAGAGAGTAGGCAGGGATAGTTTTTATTTAAGATCTTCATCATTAATGCTCTGCTTGCAATCACTGGGTCTGCAAATAACTTTGTGAGGAGCTTCTTGATTGCTAAAAGGCTGGATACATTCCTGAGGATGATGGCAACACAGTTTTATGTGGCCTGAAAAAAAATATTAAATAATAATAATCTGTTAAACTGCTGCCTATCCAGCATTAACTACAGCAATTTTTAATTAACCTGATTTAGAAGCCAAATATATCACTGATGAAAATGAGGGGGTAGAACATACAGTCATTTATTCCAGTAGAGTGGTCATGATTGTTGAATGAGGTTTATTCAAATGAACCTCCAACGTTTTGCTGTGCCCAGTGCCAGGGCTGAGGAGGCTGTGGAAGAGCAGGGAGCTTTGGGGGAGAGTGCTCAGAAAAGAGGAGGGAAGACCCAGGGTTGCTTTAATTTAAGAAGGGGGGGGGGAGGAAAAAAAGATGGGGTGTGAATCGACTGCTAATTACACCTTCGGAGTCAGTGGAGCTTGGTGTGGACTCTCCAAGGGTTGTTTTCTCTGTGGTTGGGTTGGTTCTGCTCTGGGATGATGGCCAAGGTGCTGCGTGGACAAGCAGGGCAGTGGTGCTGAAGCAGAGCAAAGCCAAAGGCTCTGCCAGGAGGGGAAGATCAACACGTCCCGCTGGGTCTGTTGCAGGGATGGACGAAGGAGCCCCTGCAACACCCCAGGGAGTTACTGGGGTGTTTGGTGGTTTCCCTTGGGGTGGCTTCCAGGAAATGGAGGTGGGGCAGAGAGGAGAGGAGAGGAGAGGAGAGGAGAGGAGAGGAGA